GCTCTTCTCCTCCCTCTCCTGGCCAGCACCCACCCCATCTCTCCTCACCTCCTCAGATAACCACCGGGCAGACGGCTCCGCTCCGCCTTCCAGGTCTGGGTTGTTCCCAATTCTGGAAAGGCTCCCTCCCTCTCCCCCTGGCCCCCTGGACACCCTCAGCCTTCCACGCCGCCTCCCAGGTCCCCTCACCTTCCTGTGGCCCCAAAGTGTCCCATGGGACCCCTGTTAAAGTCCCCCCCCCTCCCGCCATGGGACAGGGGAGGTCTTCCTGCCCCTTTGCTTTCTCCTCCCCGACTGAGACCTGGGGTGGGCAAGCGCCTGGCTCGCAGGCCCCACCGAGAACTGGGCTCAGGAGGCACCGGGAAAGCTGACCTGAAGGGGAAGCTGCAGGGAGGGCCGGGCCCCTGGGGGGTGGGGGGGACAGGGAACAGGGTCCTGTCTGGTGAGGAGGAGACGCCTAGGGGAGCGGGTCCTTGCTGTTTAAAACTGCCGCCTCCTGGGCACGGCTTCCCCATTTGTCAGCTCCTCACCCTCCCCTCCTGCCCTGTCTCCCTCCTCACGGGCACATGCCTGCCCCAGGGCCTTTGCACTGGCCCCTCTCCCTGGGGAATGCTGGTCCTCCAGACCTGCCCGGCTCCCTCCCTCCAGTAGCGCTCATGGCTCCTCTGTGAGGCCACGCCCTCGCGGATACCAAGGACGCTGCATCCCTTTGCCAAGGCTGCTCTATCCAACCAACCTTGCTTACAGCCACGCAGCCTTCAACCCTGAGGCCCTCACAGTCCACAGGAGTCGGTGGGGCCAGTCCCGGGGGGGCAGTCCCAGTGCCTCGGGGCCTGGGAGGGCTGTTCCTTGCCTGTGGGGCCCTCACTCCCTGGCTCATGGCCCCTCGTCTATAAACTGCGTGTGAGTGTGCGCGCCTGGCCTGTGTTTCATCTCTGGGCCCCTCGTCTTTCTCCGACTCCTCTCCTGCCTCCCTCTCCGCTTCCCAGGACCTGTGTGCTTCTCAGAGACCGTGGGAGCCTCTCCGCCTCAAGGTCGGCTTCAAGGTCAGCGCCCAGCGACTGGATTCCTGCTGCAGCCTCCACTGCCCCGCCCTGTGGCCGCACCTGTTCCCAGTTCCTGGGGATTTGGGCAGGGCCTTCTGGGGCCATTACCGAACCAACGGAATAGAATCGAGAGTCAGGAATGGAGCCTTGCTTTCTCCCGGGCGCCGTCCCACAGGACTCTCTGGGGACACCCAGGTGTCGCCTCTGCCACCTGGGAACCTGGGCCCACAGGGCGGGAGGAGCAGGCCGGGGGCTGGGGCTCACAGGTCAGCTGGGAGCTGCGTTCACCCGGCCGCAGGGACCAGCCTCGCTGGTAAAGGGAGTAACTCGGAGAAAGGAACAAATCTGATTTATTGAGGCAACAACAGCAGCAGCAGCAGCAGCAGCAGCAGGAGGGGGGGGAGGGGCGGGGCCAAAAAAGCAGGTGGGGCTCCCCCGGGAGCTGGGCGGGACTCAGCAGGGACAGGCAGCGCGGCAGGGGCTCCCTCCTCGGGGTCAGTCGGTCAGCAGCCAGCTGCTCTTCTCCTCCACCTCCTTGGTCACCACCACCAGCACCTGGCACAGGCCCGGGGCCAGCACGGCCCCCAGGAAGGCCCTGGGC